TTAAATGTTAAGCAGAACATGACTGAACCCAGCAGCTATAGCAACTCTTAGGAGGGAAATGTGTAGCTTTAAATGCTTATATTACAAAAGAAAAAAGATCTAATGGCATAAAAACAGATGCATAGATCAATGGAACAAAATAGAGAGCCCAGAAAAAAACCCATACTTGTATGGTCAATAAATATATAATAAAGAAGACAAAACATACAATGGGGTAAAGATAGTCTATTCAGTAAATGCTGTTGGAAAAATTAGATGCAAAAAAAGTGAAACTTGACAACCTTCTTACACCATATATAAGAATAAATTCAAAATGGATTAAAGACTTAAATGTAAGACTCAAAACCGTTAAACTCCAAGAAGAAAACACAGGCAGTAAAATCTTTGACATTTCTCTTAGCAGTATTTTTTTCTGACATATCTCTTCAGGTAAGGGAAACAAAAGAAAAAAGTAAACAAATGAGACTACATCAAATGAAAACGTTTTTGTAAAACAAAGAAAACCATCAACAAAAAGAAAAGACAACCTACTGAATGCAAGAAGATATTCTCCAATGTTGTATCAGATAAAAGGTTACTATCCAAAACTTATCAAGAACACTAAAAAAAAAAAAGCCCATTAAAAAATGGGTAAAAGACCTGAATACACATTTCTCTCCAAAGAGGACATACATACAGATGGCTAACAGACATATGAAAAGATGCTCAACATAGCTAATTATCAGAGAGATGCAATGAGATATCACCCCAAACCTTTCAGAACAGCTATCATCAGTGAATCAACAAACAAGTGTTGGTGAAGATGTGGAGAAAAGGGAACCTTCCTTCAGTGTTGATGGGAATGCAAACTGGTGCAGCCACTATGGAAAACAGCATGGAGATACCTTAAAAAATTAAAAATGGAACTGGATATATATCCACTTATGAGCATATATCCAAAAAAGCATGACACGCTAATTCAAAAGAATATATGCACCTCTATGTTCATTGCAGCATTATTTACAATAGCCATGATATGGAAGCAACCCAAATGCCCATCAAAAAGGGATAAAAAAGTGGTGGTATGTACTGGTGTGGGCAAAAGTAGGTTTACAGCCCCGGCTAGTGTGGCTCAGTGGACTGAGTGCCAGCCTGCGAACCAAAAGGTCACTGATTGGATTCCTTGTCAGGGCACGTGCCTGGGTTGTGGGCCTGGTCCCCAGCTGGGGCACATGCAGGAGGCAACTGATCAATGTTTCTCTCACACATCAATGTTTCTCTCCCTCTCTTTCTCCTTACCTTCCCCTCTCTCTAAAATAAATAAAATCTTTTTTAAAAACCTCATTCAACTACAGACTTAAATAAGTGATTTTTATTATATTACACCTCAGAAAACTAATTTTAAAATGTAAAATAATAAATGCCACCGTCACCTAAAACGGGAGAAAGAGAAGGAGGGAGGAAAAAACAACTTTGAGGTAACAGAAACTATACAAGGCAGAAAAAACTAAAACCACACATACAACACTGTCATTCATATCCTCAGAGATAGAAGATATTGTTTCCACAGGAAATATAGGGTGGAAAAAAGGGAACTCATGAATTAGAACCATGACAACAGATTTGAGAAACACAATAGAAGGGTTGGAAGTTTTAAGTTGAAAAAAAATCTCCCCGAAACTAGTACAAAAATAGAAAGAAGTGGAAAATAACAGAAAAATAAAATAAAATTAGAGGACTCATTTAAGAGATAGAGCGTCGGGTCCTGCCTGGTGTGGCTCAGTGGGATGAGTGCCAGCTTGTGAACCAAAGGGTTGCTGGTTCGATTCCTGGTCTGGGCACACATCTGATGTTTCTCTCACACATCAGTGTTTCTCTCCTTCTCTTTCTCTCCCCTCCTTCTCTCTAAAAAAATAACTAATGATCTGATAGATGGAACTTCCCGAAGAGAAAACAGAAAACAGAGGGGAGAACATCATCAACAAAATACTTTAGGAAAATTCCCCATATCCAGAGGGAAACTGTTTCCAGAGCAAAAGAGCTCACTGGACACCCAGTATGATTCCCTCACTGTGAAATTCAGAACTTGGAGACAAAGAAGCTTCTAAAAGCTTCTCCAAAGCACTGGTTCCTGAGAGGTAATTGTTAAATTTCAGGAATTCTGCAGCTGGTTATTAAATCAGCCCTGGTGGGAATATATATACCCTATTTACATCATGGAAACTGATAAGGGAGGAAACTGGCTTACCAGCATATTACTAACTAGTTAAGTAAACTGGGACATAATTATGCAGCCATTAACTACGAAGACTATTTAGAAACATAGAAAATGCTGATATAACATTAAGTTATTAAGTGAACAAAAAGTACATGTACAGTATAAATACAATTATGTAAAATATATTTCATATGGACAGTGAACAAATATATACAAAAATGTTTTGTTACAATGACAATATGTGTTTTAAAATTTATTTTAAATTGTCCTTATTATTTATATCAATTAAGATTAAAAATCTTCGCTCACACTGCCAACCCCCACCCCCCAGTACCTACAGAACAAAGTCCAAATGTTCCCAATCCTATAATAGCTTCCTATTAACTTCAGGTTTTATAGAATTCTAAACAGGAAATTTTAGTTTGTTCTGCCTGTCCAACCTCCATTTCCTGCCACTAACCTCCACCCACTCTTTTTCCAGTCCTATCACACGAGGCAACTTCCCCAAAAGTCATCTCTGAGGTGCCCTTAGCACCCGGCAGCTATCTGCATCCTACCCCCAATTCCTCTTCCCGCACATGTCTGCCTGGCAATGCTTATCAGTTGGCTGCAGCTGAGCTGCCAGTTGGTTTAGGAGCCTTTTCTCGGAGTGCAGAAACTCATTCTGGGGCCTGGCCCCACACTGCAGACACTTTAAGCAATTGTTCAACATTAACGGAGGCAGGATAGGACAGCTACTGTAATGTCTCCTCTTTCAGGAAGGCTTCCTGATTTCCACACCACCACCACCACCATTCCAGGAGAAATCAAATTCTCTCTCTTCTGTTTTGTCATAACATTTTATATGGCCTTATGTGAATCGCTTTTTCTCCTCCAACTCAGTTTCCTCACCTGTAAAATGAAGACAACAACGATACTTCTCTCACCAGGTTATTGTGAGGATTAAATCACTTTATGTTTACAAGACCCCACGTCAATCTCGTGCTAAATTCTCAATAAAAGGAAGCCATTGTGGCAATTATTTTGACACCGTAATATCACATTTGTCTTACTGTCTCACATTGCACCACGTACGTATTTCGCCTCTCCTATTAGATTGTAAACTCCCTGTGGGCAAAGAACATATCTTGTTTGTTTTTGTATATTCCACAGTGCATGGCACACTGGCCACAGTAGGCATTCAACAAATCATTCTTGAATGTGCACAACAAGCCCACAAAGGCCATATGCACATGCAGGGATATGCATACACTTAGGGGCACACGTACACCAATACAATTTTCTGCCCGCATCTTGGCGGACCATCGGGCCTGAAACGTTCCACAGGGCTGGTCGGCCCCTTCTTCCAGAAGTGCAGCATTCTCCAGCTATGACTCCTGTGACCTTTCTATTGGATTTCCAACTGCCCCTCTGGCAACTGCTTCTCAGATTCCTTTCAGCCCCTTCCTCCTTGCCCTTAAATGCCTGTGTTCCCCGTGGTGCCATCTCAACCCTGTTCTTTTTGCTTTGAACACTTGAGTGACCTTATCAAAACCACAGATCCACATTGGAAAAGTGGCCAGCCTACGTATTGCCAGCCTAGCCTTCCCTCTTGAGCTGAAAAACCTAAGGGACATTCTGCCCTCCTTCCTTCACCACCCCCCCAAAGGCTGATCTCAAGTCTCACGGCTTCTTTTGCCTTCAGCAATAACTCCTCCACCCTCCCCTCTGTCCCTATTGCCACTGAGTCAGCGCAGACTCCACCTTGCCACCCCACCACCCCCTGACCGCCCCAGCCCCCAGCACGCACTTTCCACCTAGACCCTCTAGTCAGGCTCCCCTCATTCTCTTGACTGCTGCCAGAGTAAGTTTTCATCAGTTGGGTTTCCTGCCCAAGTCCTGTCATTGTGGATAAAGGGGTGCATACATGTATAGATATATAATGAATCAACTATAGTAAAATGTTAACTACAGAATCAAAGGGGCGGGTGTTGGTTGCAATTCTTTAAGCTTCTTTGTGCTTCAAAATTTTCATAAGATGTTGGTGAAACTATCCTTCGGTGATTTCTTTCAGCTTGTTGGATGAAACTCAAAGACTCCTTCACGGAGCTCGTACGGCCCGTCATGATCTTGCTGCGCTGCCTCCTTCTATAACCTCATCCGCTACCACTCACACATCTTCCCACGAAACACCCTGGTTACTTAGAGCCACCCAGGTGAGTCGTGGTATTTCATTCCTCTGTGTCCACATACTTACTGTTCCTGTCCACAACATTCTCCCCTGTATTCTTCTCCAGCAAGCCCCAAAGCCCTGTTCATTCTTCAAACTCAACTCAAGGGACACCTCCTCCAGGGAGCCTCTGCTTGCCCCCTGGGATGGAGGCCCCTTATATTGTTCCCACAGCCTCTCCCACAGCTCAGCAGGAGGTTATGGCACCAGGGGCCTCACCTAGGACTGGATTTGCAGAAAAGCTGCAACACTGGAAACCTGGCCTGAGGACTGGAGTCTGAATCTCACAGGAGCTCTAATTTTCTCCCTCGGAGGACTCGTCCTTAGGCAATTCCCAGCTTTTGCCACAAACGTGCTTAGCTGGCCGAGCAAGTCCTGAGGCTACCACCGGCAGGCAGGCCCTGCAGGCGCCCGGAGGGGGCTCGAGCTCTGATGGGGGTGCCCCCCTCACCGCCTCAGGAAGAGGTGCAGGCAGGGAGGGGAAGAAGGCGGGGCCTGAGGCTGTGCAAGTCAGTGTCCCGGGGCTGGGACGGAAGTTGCACAAGTACAATTAGTTTCAGTTTTGTTTCTCTTCCAGGCACCCTGCAACAGCCATCTCCACACCTCAGCCCCCCGCTCCTGGTCCTGCAGCCCAAGGTCAGCTCAGGCCAGGTAAGGAGAGGGAAGGAAAGGGCAGCTGAAGGAAGGCTGAACTGGAGGGAAGAGGGGGAGGGGAGAGAGACCACGGGAGGAAGAGGAAGGGAGGGGGAAGGTGGAGAGAGGGACCCGGAAGTCAGGAGAAGAGGGGAGACTGGGCGGGAGCACCCCCACCTCCCCCAACAGGGCCAAAGGTCTGAGGCTTCCTTGGGAAAGACCCCCTCCCACTCTCTGAACTCTCCTCCCAGCTCCCACTTTCTGGAAGTTTGGGGAAAATTCCCCAAGTCCCATCATCAAGTATTTTCACAGCTACTGTGCTGGGAGCTGGGAGGACTCACAGATGAACCTCACACAACTCGGACCCCTCAGAGGTTTCTAGGAGAGCAGAGGGCCTCTTGCAGCAGGAAAGACTGAAAGAAGAGGACTCTAGGAGTTGAGGCAAAGGCTACAATGACCCCAAGATCCACTGGCTGGAAGGAGAGGGCAGGACAGTCCCTTCCTCTCGGCCTCTCTGCTGCCTGCTCCAGAACCCATTTCAGAAAGTCAGGGCAGGAAGTGGGGTTCCCATTACCCATGATGCCGCTCCCAGGTTCTAGAAGAAGACAGGTATGTGGGCCAGGGGAATTGGGGCCCATTATACTGCCCCAAATGCCATAAATCAAGAACACTCTGCCCACCTGGACCTTCCGCTGTGTCCCCTCCGACCCAGCTGGACCCTCGGGACCTGTGCACGCAGGGGCTCAGACCACACTTGCCACAAGTGCTCTCAATTAGGGCACCATTCGTTACACTGTTAGGGCTCTGGGGCCAGGCTTCTGGTCTCATCATTTCTTACAGCTCTTGACATACGCAAGCAGCACCAACTTTTTCACATTTGCCAAATGTATGCAAGGAAGAGGGCAGCTCCCTAGCTCAAGAGCGAGTGGCAAGAGGACGCACAAGACCAGAAGAAAATTCCTGGTCATTCAGGTGATTCTCCAGACCTGGTAGAGCTTGAGGATAGAAGGAGAGGCAGGAGAGCAGGCTGGATGCCCCGTGGCGGTGCCCTCTAACCCTGCCCCTTCGCTTGCAGCATGGTGTCCCAGGGATCCTCGCCTTCTCTTCTGGAGGCCCTGAGCAGTGACTTCCTGGCCTGTAAAATCTGCCTGGAGCAGCTGCGGGCACCTAAAACCTTGCCCTGCCTGCATACCTACTGCCAGGACTGCCTAGCCCAGCTGGCTGAGGGCGGCCACCTCCGATGCCCCGAGTGCCGCGAGACTGTGCCCGTGCCACCAGCAGGCGTGGCTGCCTTCAAGACCAACTTCTTTGTCAACGGGCTCCTGGATTTAGTGAAGGCTCGGGCCGGTGGAGACCTGCGTACAGGGAAGCCAGCCTGTGCACTGTGCCCCCTGATGGGTGGTGCCAGTGCTGGGGGTCCAGCCACAGCCCGGTGCCTCGACTGCGCTGATGACTTGTGCCAGGCCTGTGCCGATGGGCACCGCTGCACCCGGCAGACTCACACCCACCGAGTGGTGGACCTGGTAGGCTACAGGGCAGGGTTGTATGACGAGGAGGCCCGGGAGCGCCAGGCAGCCCAATGTCCCCAGCACCCAGGGGAGGCCCTGAGATTTCTGTGCCAGCCCTGTTCCCAGCTACTGTGCCGTGAGTGTCGCCTGGACCCCCACCTGGACCACCCCTGCCTGCCCCTGGCTGAAGCTGTGCGTGCCCGGAGACCAGGCCTTGAGGAGCTACTGGCGGGTGTGGACAAGAGCCTGGCTGAGCTAGAGGCTGCCCGGATGGTGGAAAAGGAAGCCTTAGCTTGCCTGCGGGAGCAGGTGGCCAGGGTGGGAACACAAGTAGAAGAGGCTGCTGAAGGCGTTCTCCGGGCCCTCCTGGCCCAGAAGAAGGAGGTGCTGGGGCAGCTACGGGCCCACATGGAGGCTGCAGAGGAGGCTGCTCGGGAGAGGCTGGGGGAGCTGGAGAGCCGGGAGCAGGTGGCCAGGGCGGCAGCTGCCTTTGCCCGTCGGGTGCTCAGCCTGGGTCGCGAGGCCGAGATACTCTCTCTGGAGGGGGCGATTGCCCAGAGGCTCCAGCAGCTGCAGGGATTTCCCTGGATGCCTGGACCATCCCCCTGTCTGTTGCCACAGCTGGAGCTTCATCCTGGGCTCCTGGATAAGAACCGCCACCTGCTGTGGCTCTCCTTTCAGAAGCAGCAGCCCCAAAAGGACAGTGGGAAAGATGGAGCTGGAAGCCAGGAAGGTGAGGAAACCCAGAACCGCAAAGAGGATGGAGGCCAGGCCCCAAAGGAGGACAGAGCCCAGACACCCCAGAAAGATGGAAGCCAGCCCCCAAATGTGGAGAGAGCCCAGACCCCGAAAGAGGGCAGATCCCAGATGCCCCAAGAAGATGGAGGAGCCCAGACTGGCGGCAGATCCAACAAAAAGAGGAAATTCAAAGGCAGGCTCAAGTCAATTTCCCGGGAGCCCAGCCCAGCACCTGGGCCAAACCTGGAGGACCCCGGCCTCCTCCCCAAGCCCATCTTTTCCTGCAGCTTTCCCACACGGATGCCTGGAGACAAGCGGTCTCCCCGGATCACTGGGCTCTGCCCCTTTGGTCCCCGGGAGATCCTGGTGGCAGATGAGCAGAACAGGGCTCTGAAGCGCTTCTCCCTTAATGGTGACTACAAAGGCGCTGTGCCTGTCCCCGAGGGCTGCTCCCCCTGCAGCGTGGCCGCCTTGCAGGGCGCGGTGGCCTTCTCAGCCGGGGCTCGGCTCTACCTCATCAGCCCTGACGGCGAGGTGCAGTGGCGCCGAGCCCTGAGCCTCTCCCAGGCCAGCCATGCTGTGGCTGCAATGCCGAGTGGGGACCGGGTGGCTGTCAGTGTGTCAGGCCACGTGGAGGTGTATAACATGGAAGGCAGCCTGGCCACCCGCTTTATCCCTGGGGGCAAGGCCAACCGGGGCCTTCGGGCACTCGTGTTCCTGACCACCAGCCCCCAGGGCAATTTTGTGGGGTCAGATTGGCAGCAGAATAGTGTGGTGGTCTGTGATGGGCTGGGTCAGGTCATTGGGGAGTATGGGGGACCAGGATTGCATGGCTGCCAACCGGGCTCTGTGTCTGTGGATAAGAAAGGCTATATTTTCTTGACCCTCCGCGAGGTCAACAAGGTGGTGATCCTGGATCCAAAGGGGTCACTACTAGGTGACTTCCTGACAGCCTATCACGGCCTGGAAAAGCCTCGAGTGACCACCATGGTGGACGGCAGGTACCTGGTCGTGTCCCTCAGTAACGGGACCATCCACATCTTTCGGGTCCGTTCTCCGGACAGTTAAAGGGCCAGGATTGGGGTGGAACTGGGTGGGACTGGGGAGGGAGTGGGGCAGGAGGAGGGAGGCAGGGTTGCCATGGGATGTGGTAGACTAGGGCATTTTCCCAGAGGGCAGGTGTTGGCAACCTTTCAGTGTGCGTGCCACACTGCCAACCCCTTTTTTGGGAGGGCAGCGGTAGGGACCAAGGGTTGTGGCATGACCATAGCTCTCAGAGGCAGAGGAGGAGGGCTGGCTGGGCGCTGGGAGTTAACCACACCTCTTGCTTTTTGTGCGCGATTGCCCCCACCATTACCGCCCGTCGCTCTGCTACTGTCATTATAGTTTAAGTCTCTGAGATTTGTAAGCTGGCCCTAATTTGCATTCTTCAAAACCATTCCTGGTGGAGGAACTTGGAGAGAGTCTTGGGGAGGTGGGTGGGCAGAAGTCCCCCGAGCCCAGAAGGGCTCAGGGAATGTCGGGCACATGCCCTTTGGGAGAGCTGAGAACTGGCTTTCCTCAGATTGGAACAGGGACACACGCCAGGTCAGAAGAGGCCTGGGATTTTGAAACGGCAGTTAATGGCGTTTTCCACCAGCTGCAGCCAGGAAGTACGAAGTCTTCTCTGATAATGGTGCCCCCAGTGCAGTATGGGGTGGGGGACCAAGTACAGACGCCAGCTGAGGCCAAGGTCCTCAAGGTCTGTGAAGAGAACATGCTGCTAGAACACTGAACCTGGCAGGGTCAGCGTCTAACACACAGGGTTCTGAGCATGAGAGAAAGGGTACCCCCAGGAGCCCCTGCTACCTCCAAGCCAAGATCTATGTAGGATGTAAAATCTTTTTTGTATTGATATCTTTACATTTCCTGGAGCCTATTTTTAGTTTCCTCTTAGTTTTCCAACAGAGTTCCTTTTGAGAAATTTTGGCTCTCATTTGGCTGAACTAAGGGGTGGAAGAATGTGTCCTTCAGGAGGCCCCACCACTGCGGAAAACCTCACCCTGGAGGCCAGTATGGGACTGAGACACAAAACGGCTGGGAAACCTAAGAGGTTGGTAGTGGGGCCGGGATGGTGAAGGAGTAGAAACCGGAGAGAAGGTTCTAGCTGAGGTGAGCTACCACCCTGGTCCTTTGCACAGACCATCGCAGCGGTGGAACCGAGGTGGACATGTTTAGCCAGGGCTGTCGAGAGGTGACCTAAGGGAATTGTAACGTGGGGATCATGGGCAATGGAGTGTTCATGGGAACCAGAGTGATTTTGGACAAGTCTAGAGGGAAGGCGCAGGGCATTAGGGGTGGGGAAGAGAAAATCTTTTTTTCTGGGGAGGTTATTGCTTGTTTATTGAAGCGATAGGGGGAATCATTAATGTCAAGTGGACAGATTCAATATATAAAAGTTTGATATGTATACACAGCAAGGAATACTGAAGATTTTTAAAACTAATAAGATGAAAAAACCACATATGTAGAACTGATCTGAGGAAGAGCTGAGCCTCCCTATATGCAGTGATCGAGATATCTTAGTCAAAGAACCAAATAAGCTGTGCACCCAGGGGGACATGCTCACAGGCCAGGACTACTAAGGAAAACAATTTTAACAAGTCAGTCACTTTCATGTGTCAAAAATACATTTTTAAAATATATAATGGAGAAATAGACTCCTGGCACTATAAAATGTTGCTTCCTGGAGAGAAATTTGGCAATACTTGACAAGAGCCAAAAAAACAAACAAACAAAAAAAAAGACTAAGACTCCGTTATCTCACTTTGGGGAATACATTCTGGGAAAATAATTCAAAAGAAAAAAGTGGTTACTCAGAATTTGTGGCCACCCTATAAATGATAGTCTTGACTGGAAACTGCTCAGCTGTGGGGGGACAGCTAAGTAGATTGTGGTCTGTTAGGAAAATGAGCTACTGCCTTCATGTATGATAACTATGAAAACTATTTACAAGAATATGTTACGTGATGCAATCATAAAGCAAAATGAAGAGAATTTGGATTATGATCACATGATGATAGCAACGAGGTGAAAGTATGTTTGATTCGTTACTAAGTGGAAATAGGTTCAAAACGTGTAAATAGTCAGTGATTTGGGAGATTGGGTCCTTTCTGCGTTATTTTGTGCTATTATTTATATATGCACATTTTTACTTAGTTATTATTGCCCATTAAGTAACATATATGCTTGAATATTTACTTAAAAAAATACAACTCTATAAATGATATTTAAGAACAGCTACTGGATTTGCAGCGGTCTATCTGGTGACTGAGCAAGGAACTCACCCTGGAGGCCAGTAGGGGACTGAGAGACAAAACAGCTGGAAAACCTAAGAGGTTGGTAGTGGGGCCGGGGTGATGGGAGAGTAGAAACCGGAGGGAAGGATCTAGCTGGGAAGGATTCTGGGAAGGATCGTCTCACCCTGGGAAGGTTTACAGAGGTCAGGTGGTCTCCTAAGGTGGTGGGATCGTCGTGTAGTGTTTAGAAGGCAGGGGAAGGTCTTACTGAGTTCACCAACTAATCCTGACCAACTGGAAACCAGGCAGCGGTTCTAAGGAACCAACAATTACAGGATGAGTTGCACTGGTGGGGAGGGTCTGCCTTTGCAGCCCCATCTGAAGAGTTAACAGAATGATGGCTCATAGCTGGTTCTCGGTGAAACGTGTGTGAAATGAATATCTGTGGCAAGGGATGGGACAGTGGTAAGACTCCAGAGATTTGCCACCTTAAATGCCATAGCCCCATCCAACCAAGTTGTCCAAAACCTTGCTTTATGGGAAATCTTCAGGGAGGCACTGTGGACACAGTCCACCATATGCTTCCCAGCGGGGGGCCTGGCTCCAAGTCACAAAAGAGATGTGATTGGGGTGTCCTGCTTATGTATGTGGAGGGGGACCTGAGGGATCACATACCTTCGGGCTGAAACAGCAGCTCTGCAGAGCGGTACAGGAACCATGTGCCAAGGCCCTGGCTGGTGAAATAGCTCCGGTCAAGTGGCTCACCCGGAGGCAGAGCAGGGATCGAGACCTTTAGAAAGGGAATGTCACCTGACAGCAAGAAGAAAATCTTTCCGATGCTCCAGGACTACAGGAGCCAGGCATTGGAAGATTGACAGAAATTCTAAATTTTCCTCATTAAGGGGTAGGGGTGGGAAGGCACAGAACACTGGCAAAATACAAAATGGATGGGAAGTATAGTTACTGAGCCAATTTAGACGTAAAATCCCCAGCATCATAAGTGTGACCCGGGAATCATAATGAAACCCACAGAAAGCACCACTCAGCACCAAGAGAGAGAGTTCTTGGTTAAACTACAGATCTATAGAAGTCAGGGACATTGTGAAAGATACACGCCACCACCCCCACCTTGTGTTGGACTGTGACAATTAACTTGATCAATTATTCCTTTTCCTGTTTGGAACTTTCTAGGTTGTGCACGTACTGGTGAAAGGAGAATGCCATTCGTTCAGGTAGGGAGAAAGGGAGTAGAAAGCCTCTTTCATATCCTTTGCACTTAAAAAAGTGAATGAGGAAGCAGAGACCTGGCTTGAGTGCTGGCTCTTCCACTTAATGTACTCTTGGTCTAGCTCCCTAACCTCCCTGAAGTGCAGTTTCTACATCAATAAAATAGGGATAATACTATCCACCATGCCCACCTCACAGGGTTGTGAGAACTGGGTGAGAAGTAGAAAAAAAGTATTTTGTATTTTATATGCCGTAAAGCTCAAATCCTAGGTATTGGTTGGGAAAAAGTTCAACTGACTTGTACTAACTTAATGCTGTTACGTCAGTATAGGCTTGAATGGGATGTTATGTGCACATATTGCAAGGTAAAAGCTCAAGAACATCTGGGTAGAGCTGTTACCTGCTTCTCCTTTGGAGAAGACTGTTTTATTTTGCATTCCAGCTGTTATTTGAAGACACCATATACTATGACACAACCGTGACTGTTGGAGGAGAGGGAACCGATAGCCAGCTTGCTAAGACGCAATGCTATTCCTAAAAGCCAGCTGAGGATCAGACTGTACTAATGAAGGACTGATAACCATAGACTTTTAGAAGTTCAAAATGGTGAGAGTGGCCAAATCTCTTGATAATTTAGAGAAAATATAATTCGGGAGGGAATAGCTCTCCTTTCATTGTAGTCTTATTACTGTGTCTATAAAGCCATGCTGTATAATAAATCTACAGAGATAAGATTTCACAGGGGCAGAAGTCCAAGAGGGAAGTCAGAAGTCTTCCTAGGAAATTGGTGAGGTTGGTGAATCAGCTGGGAACTAGAGTTACCCTGTAAATTAAGTGGGAGATTGGACAGAGACACAGAGTTCTGTTTTGGGGAGAATTCAGTCTTGGACTAGCTGGGGCAGAGAGCTGCCAGAGAGCACTCAAGAAAATGTTCCTAGCAAGAGAAAGACCAAGTTCCAATGCAGGCATAGAAAGATTGGTAACTTGACCAGAGGTAGCAGAACCATCCTACCCAACTGGTTCGTAAATATAGTTTAATTAAATGGATCAGGACAAGAGCAAAAAAATGTCTTTGAGGGACCACAGATGCCTTGGTTGGGGGACATTTTTTGCAGCAGGGTTGGGGTGGACCTTACTTGAAGCTTTAGGTGAGGGATCTTTGGGACCAAATAGAGAAGGGGCCTGTGCGTAAAGAGGCAAACAGGAAGTAGGTTTGGGGAGGTTTTAGAAGGCAGCCTGACTTGTTTCAGGAGAAAGTTAGAACTGGTTGGCTAAGGAGCCAAGAGAGACAGGGTTGAAAATGGAATTGGGGTCTTGGTATCCATGGTGTCAGCCCAGCAAATTTCTCTTAGTTGCAACGGGCTGAAAAATCTGTTGTAAATGCTCATTCCTTCAATTATGTACTTTGAAACTTCTGTTTCTTAATAAAGTCTTATTAAAAATTTGAATGTTTTCTCCAATGGTTCATGGGTATGGGAACTGTCAACACCCAGGCCCACGTGGGCAAAGGGAAGAAGAAAACATGGCCACCCCTGTGGTAGCTCCAAAGATGTCAACATAGGGGGACCCTATGTTGGGGGAC